AAACAGATAGAAACAGTTTGCTATCCTGGCTCCAGGATGGTGGAATGAGCTCCCCATTGACATCAGGACAGCAGATAGCTTGCACATCTTCCGGCGCAAACTGAAAACTCATCTATTTCGACTCCACTTCGAGCGATAGAACTATTAACAAAGCACTTTTATACTAATAAAGGACTGGCTTATCTAAAGCCAGTTGAGTAGCACTTGAAATGTTTGGCTCTATGAAACCTGATGTACTTATATGATTCTGTTTTCTTCAAGTTTGTATTTTGTTGGTCGAACGCACTTATTGTAAGTCGCTTTGGATAAAAGCGTCAGCTAAATGCAATGTAATGTAATGTAAAAACAGTACCGAAGGAGTGGCAGACCGGGGTGGTGGTTCCCCTTTTCAAAAAGGGGGATCAGAGGGTGTGTGCCAATTACAGAGGCATCACACTACTCAGCCTCCCCGGGAAAGTTTACTCTAAGGTACTTGAAAGGAGGGTCAGGCCGATTGTCGAACCTCAGATTGAGGAGGAACAATGCGCATTCCGTCCTGGTCGTGGAACGACGGATCAGCTTTTTACTCTCGCAAGGATCCTGGAGGGGGCCTGGGAGTACGCTTATCCGGTCTACATGTGTTTTGTAGACTTGGAGAAGGCGTATGACCGAGTTCCCAGGGAGTTACTGTGGGAGGTGCTGCGGGAGTATGGGGTGAGGGGGTCTCTACTCAGGGCCATCCAATCTCTGTACTCCCAAAGCGAGAGCTGTGTCCGGGTCCTCGGCAGTAAGTCGGACCCATTTCCGGTGAGGGTTGGCCTCCGCCAGGGCTGCGCTTTGTCACCAATCCTGTTTGTAATATACATGGATCGGATTTCGAGGCGTAGTCATGGGGAGGGGGTCTGCAGTTCGGTGGACTAAGGATTGCACCACTGCTTTTTGCAGATTATGTGGTTCTAATGGCTTCATCGGTCTGCGACCTTCAGCACTCACTGGATCGGTTCGCAACCGAATGTGAAGCGGCTGGGATGAGGATCAGCACCTCCAAATCTGAGGCCATGGTTCTCAGCAGGAAACCGATGGACTGTCCACTCCAAGTAGGGAATGAGTCCTTACCCCAAGTGAAGGAGTTCAAGTATCTCGGGGTCTTGTTCTCGAGTGAGGGAACAATGGAGCGTGAGATGGGCCGGAGAATCGGAGCAGCGGGAGCGGTACTGCAGTCGCTTTACCGCACCGTTGTGACGAAAAGGGAGCTGAGCCAGAAGGCAAAGCTCTCTGTCTACCGGGCCATTTTCGTTCCTTCCCTCACCTATGGTCATGAAGGATGGGTCATGACCGAAAGAACGAGATCGCGGATACAAGCGGCCGAGATGGGTTTTCTCCCTTAGGGATAAGGTGAGAAGTTCGGTCATCAGGGAGGGACACGGAGTTGAGCCGCTCCTCCTTCGCGTCGAAAGGAGCCAGTTGAGGTGGTTCGGGCAAATAGTTAGGATGCCACCTGGGCGCCTCCCTAGAGAGGTGTTCCAGGCACGTCCAGCTGGGAAGAGACCAAGGGGTAGACCTAGGACCTGGCCTGGGAGCGCCTTGGGATCCCCCAGTCAGAGCTGGTTGATGTGACCAGGGAAAAAAAAGTTTGGGGCTCTCTGCTGGAACTGCTACCCCCGCGACCCGACCACGGATAAGCGGGAGAAGATGGATGGATGGATGGATGGATAATCAGACCTTTTCACACATCACAGTTTTGTGTGTTTTATATTCTTTATATATAATGTATTATTATTGTTTTGTATTTGTTTTCCCACCAATCCCTTCCGCAACATTTCCGTCGGGATAAAGAAGATGTATCTTATTCGACAGCTACATTACGTTTCATAGTTACCATGCATTAATGACTCATTTATGTAGATACTATATTAATACACACATACTGTATTTGCACTGTATTTATAGAACATAGTTTTCTTATCTGAATTATAATGTTTATTTTTAAATCCTTTACATTATATCTCTGTTACTGAGATATCTATTGAGGGTAAAGTACTTGTGCCCCCCCCCCCCCCTGTCAGATGCAGACTGCAGGATATTGTGCGCAGTGCAACAAAGGGGATCTCTGTAACAGTTAAATATGTGCCTGTTACTTGTTGTTTCTGTTAACACCGTATAGGGTGTATAGGGGGGGGGGGTGTATAATGCTGTGTTTACAGGAGCCTGGTGTAGGGATCCACACACACACACACACACACACACACACACACACACAGGATGAGCTGTAGTGGGGATAACACGAGTTAAACCTCTCTGAGAAATGACTACAGAAGTGATTACATGCAAATAATTTTCTTAGAAAATACATTCTTTGTCAGTAGACAGTTTTATTAATATTAATGTGTGTATTTTTCAGGTAAGATTTGTTTGGAAATAGGAAGTGATGGAGAGAAACTTAACTCAAGTCTTGTACTTCTGTTTCTGAGTTACTTTACTTTAGTTTCTCCATTCCCTGCTACTTCTTCTCCACTACAATTACAAGACAGAAATATACTTTTTACTAGGCTACATTTCTCTGACTGATTTAGCTTAAAAGATTCAGATTAATCATAATAATACAAATGTAATTCACCAATATTATAACATGTAAAGGTAGTTTAGATATTTGTTATTTCATGGTGAATTTCAAGCTGCACAGTAAATCTGTGAACATTGAAACATGAACACAATAATGCATCAATGATTATTATTGCAGATAAATACATCATTCTGTATACTTTAATTATACCATTTCTACATTCTAAAGGTACAACAACTTTTATTTGCAAAGAAAGATCTCTCTGTACACCGGGAACACTTTGGATCATTTCTGTTTGACAGAATGATGAGTCAGTATGTATGATGTAAGGGGGGTGTCACAGCACGACTGGTTAAAGGAGCGTGTGACTCAGCAGCCTGGAGCTGTGCTCTGCATCTCCTCTTCCTCCACTGTGAGGGGAACACACTCACATTTAGGATGAGGAGGCAGGTGATGCCTTCAGATGATGCAGGACGACTGAAATATGAAGGAATAACTCCATCTACTGGCCAACCACTGAGAAACCTGCAGGACAAGTGATTTCTCTTATAAGAGAAGAATATTGTTGAACTCTGTGGCAGACCGAAATAGAACTATGTTGTCACATTAGAGCTTCAGTTGTTAACCTCACTGCTTAATAAAGTGTTACCACATTAGCAACTTGCCTTAGGCAACTTTATTAGGAGACTACTCTGTGTGTTGAGTTAACTATTAACATTAGTCAGGGCTCCATTCTATTAGGTACCCCATTAAGGGTGACCTCCACATTATTCATTGTTAGACTCTGCTTTCCCTTTTTGATGTGAAGTCAGAATATGTGCGTTAGAAAGGCATATCCATGTGCGGGACTTCTTACTAAACTATAGAAGCTTAACATGACAGAGGTAGGCCCAAGGTTACATCTTCAATTGTAAATGGCCTGTTCAGACAATTGGGACTTTATGATACATTTATTAAAAAAGGACAATGACACAATACAAATGTAACACTTTTTTTTTTGTAAACACAAGACTTATTTTCCTATTATACATATTTTAAATATGTATTGTTTATTGTTGTTATGTTTTGCATAACTTTAAAATACACAAACATAACAGATGACAAAAGATAAACAGGAAGAGGCAGACAACCCACTTCTCAATAAAGTTACAATCCATAAGAAACACAATACTAATGTACAAACAATATGAATTGAAAAGCAGACATTAACACCAACATCAACAAAATAACACCAGTATTATAGTCAACATGTAAATGGTCTTTCAGGCATTTTTAAAGCATTTTATAGACAGACAGTATTTGATGTGTTATGTGCTGCTAAATAGCTCCAGCTGTACATGATTCTCTGTGAATAAACTCCATTTATACAGAGCTGTTGATAAAACAAACTAATGGATAAATCAGCTAAATGTTACGAGTGTTTCATGGACAGCCTTAGCTATGATTGTTATTGTTAATGTTCATTTGAGCGTTGTTATGATCCAAAAGAGTCAAAAGCCACCGGTTCAAACTGTTTTCATGAGGATGAGTTCATGTCAGGATATCTGTTGTACTGCAGTATTTCTGCTAGTGATGTGCTAACGTCACCAGATGGCAGTGCTGATTCAAAGTTCTCTTTCTCGTCAGGTTTCTCCTTTTGTTTTTGTTTCTTACATTTCTATGATTCAGTGATGTAGTCCTTTACTTTGCATGTACAGTAAAGAATAAAAGATTCAACATGGGTGCAATTGAATTGTGTTTCTGTACGGTACGGTAATTCATTTATTAACAGTAGGATTTAAAAAACAAACACACACACTCAAACCTTTTCATCTGGAACATCATTCCATAAACTTGGCTTGTATCTGCTGCCCCCTCCGTCTCTCTCACTGGTCCTTTCTCTTGCTGACAGAGGGGGGAGACAAAAGCTCTGATTCTATCTTCAACTGGCACAGTTGGTTCAGAGAGATACTTTAAAATGCTATTTTGTAATAATGCAGGTTTACCAGGGTCACTGAGTGCAGCAGACACATTATATATCCTCAATTCACATTGACTCAGCAGGTGAGTGAGCACAAACACATTTCCGTGTGTCAGTTGAGAATTATTCAGACAGCTGGACCTCCAAAGGCCATGAAGTAATATGGTCTTCTCCTGAAATGTTGCTACCTTTGGCACAATGAGGGCAGGCTCGAATGTGTTTTATATATATGCAGTTTTTTGGTTTCAAATGACAGTTTCCTCCAAGGTCCTGTTCACGTCATCATTAGGGAGTTTGTCCAACTCACAGCCTGTCAGTCGAGGGGAGAACACACATGTGGAGGCTGATTCAGAACTGTGCGAGGTGGAGAGAGGAGCGGCTCACGGCTCTTCTCCAAACTCTTCTTTTATACAATGAACAGATGTACTGTATCTCTGCGGTCTTCAGTGGGATTATACGTAACAACGGGCTGACTGTGTTTACTCCTCTCCCCTGCAGCGACGCCAGCAACTGATCCATCACAGTAACCCTCAGCTGGAGAACACACAGCACCTGGCCGTGGGGAGAGGGGGGTCTCAGCAGGGGGGCCGGCAGATGGTGACACTGCAGCAGCACTTCTCCAGGTAGCCCCTTCCCCACCCCCACCCTGAAAGACCGTCACACACTCTACACACGTTTGATACATTTGGTGGGTTTGGTCTGGTTAGAGACTGCTATTAGCCGCTAACTGCACATCCAAAACTGAACTGTGAGCTGTGGCCAAGTTGCATTGTTGGCAATGTAGGTGTCAGGTTTTTGACAAGGAAGATGGAGGCACAGATTAAAAAGAGCTTTGAATTTTTAAATCAATTGATTTATGACACTGTTGGTTCTCTATTAATTAATCAGATTATAATACATTGGTAAACATTGATTCAACAGCATAAACATATAATATAACAAATATTATTCATAAGGATAAATGTGGTATTCTACTTTTTTTTAAAAAGGAAGACACATATTTTACATATTTGAAAAAGTGAGTGCATACTCCCTGGTTACTGCAGGTTTCTGTGTATCTGTATGTCTGACATTAGCATGTGGCTATTATAAGCAAACACCGACCAAGACTCTGTAGAGGCTTCTCAATACTCAAATTTCCCCTCCCCGACTCCTCGGTCCTCCGGTAGTGACCCGGAAATGAATTTCAGCGCGCCATTTTGAAGGACATGTCATTTCTCTAAATGCACACCGAGGATCGAGCGTCGAGGAGGCTCTCTGGACGAGGAGCTCTAACCGAGGATACACCAAGCCCCCAGGAAGTGCGCTGGACTCAGATGAACATATTCGTGCTGGCCAAACGGCGGTACTACACTTCCGTTTGGTTGCCAGGCCCGGAAACACTTTTTCCCATTGACTTACATGGGGAAAGAGTGGTCTGTAAATCGTTGGATAATTTTTTGTAAACTAAATAAACTACCCAGTATGAACACTTGTATAGCCCTTATTAAAATCATTCGTTCCTCAAGTTGTAATAATGTGCTAATAACGTTATTCTGAGAGTTATTTCCCTCTGCATTATGAACGCGCATCTAACCCACGGGACCGTGCCGCCCGGCACAGGGAGGGTGGGGGCTGGAGCTATTGGAGCTACAACGAGCCGTTAAAGGCAGAGAGTGACATTCAGTGAATACACGTAGTTTACAGAGATGCTGTTTGAGAAACCAATGTGAGTTGCGTTTATCTTTACCCATGGATGCACAATAAGAACGGACCCATATCTTACTGCCACCCCACGGAGCTGTAATAATGGATATGTTGCACATGTTTGCTGTAATTCATTGTCATACTACATGGGCTGGATGATTACATCTTGTACCGTAAATGTTGTATTAAATACAGTTAATATTACTTATTATTATAAGTATATATATATATACAGTGCAATCATTCTTTCATGCTAAATGAAGCTCTGTTGCTTGGATATCACTAGATCCTGTTACAGCGTAATATAAGTACATAACGATTGATGTTTACATTAGCATAATGACTAGCTAGCCGCTAGCTGCTAACTGCCACCTCGTTAATATCAAATCCATCATAATAACAATCCATTACCATGCTGTCATGAACGCACGGTGCTGTTACGTGTACGCAAATTGACGTGCTTGATGTGAACGAGCATTTTGGTTAAAGTTGCGCATGCGCTATGAGCGCACATACGGGTACTTCTCAGGCATGCCGGGTAATCTGTGACGTTTCACTCTCTCAAAAGTTGGGCCATTTTATCATCATGCGCCAATGAGCAACTCTCATAGGAATGAATGAGGCCCCGCCTCCCACGCTGTATCCAGTTCTTCTTATACATCCATGGGATACACTGATGGTTCCTCCACGGCTCATCCACGGATGCATTTCCGGGAACGGTGGAGGCGTGACGCATGGCCGGACTTATCTCAGCCAATGACAGCTCTGCATGCATCCCCTGGATATTATTTTAGAAACTGCTTTCATCGCGTCGCGATGTTTCCAGTGAGAACAGCTGTAAGGTCCATGCAGAAAGCAGAGCAGTGTGTATAATATATATTACTCAGTATAACAGCCCTACTCTCTTTATTTGCTTTAGTTTAGTAGATATCTACAAACAAAGAGTCGATATTTTTCTAAGACCATTGCTTCACATAATAAAATACACAACGGCTTATGCTTTAGGAGCTGTAGGTGTGTGTGGTACAGTGTGTAGGTGTGTGTGTAGGTGTGTGTGTGGTACAGTGTGTAGGTGTGTGTTGTACAGTGCGTAAATGCGGCGGACAGACGGGTCTCAGTTGGTTTGGTGTCATCTGCTTACTTTTAATAGGCCTACTTGTAAATACAACTTTTGGCCCGTAATTTCAATTCCCCATTTCAGTGACCAGAGAGAGGGGGGGGGGGGGATATATCCAGTCTCTGATTGTGTTACGTTATTATGAGAGAGCTCTCATACTTTAAATTGTATATATTTATATAAATATATTTGTGTGTGTGTATCCGCATCTGTAGCCTGTTATTGTCTCATTATACCGCACTCTCAATGAATTCAAAGTAAATATGTGGGGGAACAATGTTCAGCTGATCTAACAGAGATACAGCACTATGACAAAACACTCGACAGCTGATGCAGCTGTTGCCACGTAATAATGAACGGACGTCTCTTTAATATGACAGCTCAGAGGAGAGGAGTTCTCATTTCTTTAAACGTCTGCTGCTTCCCCTCCTCTCTCCTCGGTTCCCCTCCTCGGTCCTCCGCTCGCATCTCCTGTGGACTAAGTCTCGAGGAGGGGAACCGAGGAGGGGAGTCGAGGAGGGGAAATTTCAGTATTGAGAAGCCTCTTGTGTTTCTGATATACATTCTACCTAAACACATAGAATGGTCTTCAAAGGTTGAAGTAAGTAAGGTTTACAAATCCTTTTCAATCATTGTCATTTTCAGTATTTCAAAATAATGGAACATACAACTAGTGTCTCGAAGCAGTCAGATCTATGGGCAACAAAAAAAGATGAGGGTTTACGCTTTTATGTAAAAAACAGGAGATGTTTCAGAACTAAACTGATTATTGGCCATTTGTCTTCAGTAACATACGCAGGAAAGATGGTGGCGTGCCTCAAATGATTGAACCAAGTTAAATTAAAGCTGCATAACTGCTTTTTCCATTTGACTTATGTATCAGCTTAGATATGAAGGGGAAGCAGTCTCTATGATTCTCGCTAGGTTGGTCACTATATCAATTACACATATTCATTAAATCCATTGTTAGTATAGAGGAAATGTAATTGTTGCTCATTTAATTTAGCCCCAGGTTATTTGCTAGCTAAAAGATGTGTGCAGGTTAAACAAGCTGACATTTTAAACAAAGCATCTTGGTAGTCAAATTAAAGACAAGATATGTTCATGTGCCACAGGCTCCTAATTTGTAAATGAGTCTACAGTACGTATTCTTCTACTATTAGCTGATGGATATATCCAGACAATCTTTTCTTGCCTAGTTATTCTCAATCTAGCGTTTTTAGGCACAAACATTTATCCAATTAGCCTGGTCTAATCCATGAAATTAGTGTTGTAATGTCCTCAATACTCAGTTCTATCACCAGTTTTATGGGATTAGTTTTGTATCATAAAGATAAAGCAACACTTTCTCAGAATAAAGCAAAACTATGAGTTTAAAAGAAAAAAAAACGAAGTCAAGCAAAATAAAATACATTTCAAAAATAAAACTATAAATTGCAAACAAATCATTTGTGTAATCATGTAAACTATGAGTCTTTTTTCTTTGTTTTAACATAGATTTTTGTTTGCAGTTCTTGTTTCTTCTTTCTCAAAGATCAGACTTTTGCTCTCGCTGCAGCTCTCTCGTTTGCGCTCCCTCATTTTTTGTTTGAGATTTTGACACAAACATCCCAGGTGGGCGGGACTTTCAGGGGTGTGTCCCCATTGGCTACTCAGTTTTTGAGTGACAGCCCATACACCACAGATCATACAGTGCAACTCAGAGCCCTAGAGAGATAAGAGTTACGACACTCTTTGATGTCGCCGCCAGCCGGTCACGTGGTTTATGTATGCCGGGATAGTTCCAAACGCACTTCCGTGGTAATGCTTCTCTATGGCAAAAACAGCACAAACATGGTCAAAATAGTCATAGATTAAACCAACGCTGTTATTTTTTAAAGATTGCTTTCATATATACATGATGTGGTTACACTTTGTATGGATTGGCACTATTTATAAGTTTCGTTATTTAACGATATTTTGAGGGGAAAGTGTGGTAGCACAAGCAGGCTATGTTGCTGTCACTGCCAGGGCAGTCACGTCCGTAGTATAGTTGCGCTGCGCTGTCATGTTCTTCTATGGGACAGACAGACAGCAGCGATTGCGTTATTGAATGGTAAATATATATATAAAAAAACACACACACCCAAGTACTTTTTCAGCTGTAATTGCATTATTGCATACTTTTTATTGACAGTTTTGCATTTGGAGAGGCAGGGTGACAACGGAAAGCTTTGTAGCCTATTACTTAGATACGTTTTACATTTTTGGAGGGAAACGCTTGTGTTCATGTTAGCATGGGTAGCATGATCATGTTAAGACTATGAATATCATTTTACCACAACAGTGGATGAACAATTGATATATGTGTTTGAACAAGAACAACAGGAAGAACAAAGTAAAAGGGACGAACACATGTGTGAACAAGTATTAAGAACAGTGTATGGAAAAAGGGATGTGTGTTAGAACAAAACAAAGTCAAATGAATGAGAAGGAGAACAAAGAGGGTTAGGGTTCAACAGAAAAAGATTAATTCAGCCAAAAAAACACAATTTTGATTAATCTAAAGTGTAAAACAATCTTCAACACAGACCAAATTAGTGCCCTTGGACAACAAAACATCTGGTGGGGCAAAGAAACGATAAATTAAATTGAGAGAGTGGGAGACTAAAAATGATTACTATGATAAATATTCAAACTATTTACAAAACTATTTACAGAAGCTCCTGTTGAACCAGCAACAAAAACAGGTTTGTCAACAATAACGAGGCCACGTTGCCAGGGGGAGGTGATCCAGCGACGAGACAATAAAGCAATTCATATCAGGTTCTGTTGAGACAC